GTTGCTCTCTTCATCTCTGTCTGCAGTACATGAGGGACTACTAAAGACACTCCTACACTAGCAAGGTTTGTGATATGCATTAGAGTCAGGGGAAGGGGAGATGAGACGATTCACACTGCGGGGTGAGGAGTCCTCACTAAGCATGGTATACAATGAGATGTCGGTGCCAGGCTTTGAACTGGGAGGTAACCTTAGCAGGCTAGTGTGCTGAGAAGACACATCCAACAAGTACTTTAGCAGAAAGCAGCTGAGGGCGTGGGCATGGCTGAGTGTCTGAGTCATCAGATGCCACCCTGCTAGCTTCCAGGTGAGTGTGGGTTCTTCTACCAACTGCATTCCTGGGCAACTCTTTGATCTAAGCGGGCGTCTGACCTGTGAGGTTTGCAGAGCAACAGGGCCCCCTACTGGCTGCTCAGTAATTAAACTGATTTAAATTTAAACTCATTTAGATGAGCAAAGACCTTCACAGAATTCCAAACAACCAAGTTGGCAGGCTTAAAGGCTTCTGGGAACCTTGAATTGGCAGCCTGGGCACCAGAAGCCAACTGATACTGAGGACACACTCCTAACCACAACTATGAAAGAAGACAGAACCGGTATTTGGTGCATTCTCTTCACAGGAAAATACCTTGGCTTCTTCTTTTTTTTTTTTTCCAGAAAAATTAACAAAGTTTATTATGAATATTGCCTACATAGAGTCAATAATTGTTATATAAAATTAAAATAGCAATGAACGATACTTAAGGTCTAGGAATATATGACCTTTAAGTTAACTCTACTTTTCCTCCAGACCTGAACTTCTTGTGCATTTCACACACATGATAAAACACTTTAATTAAAATCAAAGCATGTCTTAGTTTCCTTGTTTTATGGTACTTTGATGATTCCATTTACTTCTTAGATACAAAGTTTTCTTTTACTTTTTTTTAAATCTCAACAACCTGTAGTCCTGTCTAATGGTCCTTAAGGATCATCTTATGTTCTCATTCACAAAATAAATAAATAAGAACAAAAGAAATGAAAATAGAAAAAAGTCATAAAAACTTTTGAAAAATGTAACCACAGAAGCCACCAAAGAAAACATCATACATGCAGCTTTTTGTAAGACACTGAATCATGACCCGCACCTATGTCTTGAGTCTATAGGACTGTACTTTCATAAAATTGCTGTCTTTCTTATTAATTCTTGTGAGTAAATAAAAGGTAATTTTTCCCTAAAGAGCTCTATCTTTGCTTTATTAAAAAGACAAAGCACTGAATTTAATAATCAAATATGGAACGTACTCCTCATTTACTACCAATTTGTTAACATGTTGCATGTGGGCTTGATTTAAAACAAATACACACGGAAGTCAAAGGAAATAATGTCTGATGTCTGTGGAGGTGTGGGGCGGGGGGACACGGATCTTCCTGGTAGCCTTCACCTTTTCCTCGTGTTTCTTATAGCCAGGAAGGGAACAGGGAAGTAGTCTTTACAGTCTAACTTCTCCATTTACCAGAACATCCTATTCAAAGGGCCCCCTCAAGTTAAACAGGCACAGGACTGCATTAGAACACATGTAACTAGAGTGACAGCCATTATACAGATATTTTTCATATTTCTAATTTTTGTCTTTGATCCATCAAAATTTACTATTTTCCTCTAAGAGGCAATTTGGGGTAGGGGTAGGGCTGAAGGTAATGGAGAGGAAGGGGGTTTCTACTAAATTCTATTGACAACTTGGGTGCCACACTTGCTGTCTGTCACCAACCCAGTCAGGCACACCCAGGGAAGTTAACAGTGCGGGACAACACTTGTCCACAGGTGATGTGGAGTATTCTCAAGGGACCTCTTTATCCCTTGAGTCCTGAGGATAAACCAGACTTTATTCACGTGTCCAGCCTCCATAGTCTGTGGACTCACCTGTCAGCAGGCTCTTCACTTTTTTTCTGGCCCCACCCTGAGGATGCTATGCATATCTTAATCTGAAGATAACAGTAGGGAATTTGTGTGGTTGATCCATGACAAAGGCTATTATATATATATATATATATATATATATATATATATATATATTATAAAGAACAGAACTTTTTTCGTTTGCAGATCACCTAGCTACCTCTGTAGGTTCACCAAGAAGTTCACCTGCAAGATGATTTTTCCAAACACTGTTGAGAAACACCATTGAGGCTATGGCATGGACAAAAGAGCTGAAAGCTCTGTGTTCTTGAACAAGTCTGCCCAATTAACCACGTGTCTGTCAGATAAATTAGAACAATGCTTTCAAAACTGTGTTAGTGTTCATAAACGGCAGTGCTAGAACACTAGTATGCCCCCTGGATTTGTTAAAGAACTGTGTATTGATCCAATACCTTTGGGCAGTTTTAAAGGTCTAGAGATGCCATTCTTTCCAGAAAGAACTATGGCTTAATTATTATCTTTTTTAAAAAAAAATTTGTGTGTGTCTTTTGAGACAATCTAGATAGGTAGCCCAAACTAGTCTTCAAGATTTGAGAGCCTCCCTCAGCCTCCTAAACGCTGGGGTTACAGTCATACACCAGGAAGCCTGACTTCTCATTAGCATCTCCTTGAGAATCAGAAACACTGTTGGCTGTAGCTGCTTGCCTTTGATCTTAACTGGATTTCAATTGAGATACCTGTGCTGTGTGTATTTTATGTCTGTGTCTGAGGTGTAAAAATGAGGAAGGCTATGAGGTATTTAGATAAGACTTGACAGAGCAAGGCTATCCTCCTTATCATGTAATCACATTCCTATCCCTGACAAGAGGTTTCTTTGGAAGCGGCAGGTATTGCCCACGATCTTTCCCATTTAGATTAGGCAGAGAAGTGAAATCAAAGGACAGCGCGCATTTTTTTTTTTTGTTTGTTTTTTGTTTTTCGAGACAGGGTTTCTCTGTGTAGCTTTGTGCCTTTCCTGGATCTCGCTCTGTAGACCAGGCTGACCTCAAACTCACAAAGATCCGCCTGCCTCTGCCTCCTAAGTTGGGCTGGGATTAAAGGTGTGCGCCACAACCACCTGGCCAGCACACATTTTTAAAACATGGGTCTTCTCCAGGTTGGAATTCTTAGGTCACTAGATGCTCAGAGTCTCCCACCATCATCGATTGATTTGAATAATTAACAGAAATATCATCCAGGACTTGAAAGGTACGCTCTTAGATTTAGTACTGGATAGATCTGGGCCAAAGGTTTGGATGGAAATGTGGGCTCACCCAGATTCGCAGTGCCAGACTCTGACAAATTCAATTTCAACACTTCCACTGCATCTTGGCAGGTGCTCGTGCCTGATGTCATCAGCCAATGATGTAAGCCAGAAAGAGTGGTATGTTGCAATAGAGATTCTGGTAACCCTTCCCATGCGTGTGGGTTGAAAGCTATCAATATTTATATCACACGCAGAAAGCATGTAACATTTTGTAACATGTAGAAGTTAGATGGCTTGCGTGGAGTCTTCTGCACACATGCATTGTCTTTGTGTTCCACATCAATAGCTTAAATTGCTGATGTTTGTCTTTTATTTTCTTAAGACACTTTTTCAATTAAATATAATGAAGGGAAATCTTATTGACGTCACCAAAATGAACATGTCAAAATTAAAGGATTAAATCTGCATGGTCGCAGGAAATACTAAAAGATGGATTAATTTATAATTTCTTCCTATGAAAACATGATTACATAAGAAGCTAACTTGGGTTACAGGGAAAAGCTGTTGTAAATCCTTTTTTGTAAAATGATTAGCTTGGTATGGCTGGTATCACAGCGTTTGCTCACCCCAGTCTAGTCTAAAGTACTACATACTGAGGCACATGTAGATGACCCAAGAACATAGTCTCAAAGGACTGAAGGGTGGACACAGGAGGACAAAACAGGGGAATGGAAGAAGTTGAACTTCTTGGACTGTTTGGTTTTGTCACAGACACCAGAAACATGTCATCATATAACTCACCTGCATAGTTGAAAATGTAGTTCTGAGGCAAAGTCTTTATTGACATTGACTTTTTCTTCTCAGAATCTTATTGTATATGTATTTCAGTTTTTCTCATGTGCGCAGATGTTGCCAGATGTTCCTCCGGCTCTGTAGGCATGCCAGAGATTCTTTTCTGCACAAGCAACCCCAGTAGTTACAAGATCACAAGATCATTTTATACACTAGCCCATAAACAGATAGTTTTTATAAACTTGGCTCTAAGTTTCCATGTTGTTTGGCTGGGTGTGTTTTACATTGTTAATAAATAGTATGCAGTGAGTGAAGAATATTGAATATGTATTACTGCTTATTTTGGTTAACATTTTGATTTGGCTAACTGGAAGTCATAACTGATATTCTAATTTCAGGTTACTGTGTTTGAAATTGGTAAGCACTTACAGACTGTAAGTGTGTATGACCATTTATGGTGTCACTTCTCCAGAGGTAGCAGAAATTCCTCTTTTCTTTCCTCAAGAGGTAGCTCTTAGTCAATAGAAAGTAGGCCTCCAGTGTTTCTTCCTGGACTCTCCTTGGCTTTTTCTACACTTTTTTGAAATGCTCAGGAAGAGGTAGCTTTCTAGGTGTGGCTGCTGGAGTCACTGGGTGGAACTGTCACTCCCCACCCCTTGGCATGATGTAACTTTGCACATGCAGAAAGTGCTGACATGCAACGTAGCTGCAGTACATTCCTTCTGGAGGAAAAACAAAGCCAAGGAAACACCTTCTCTCAAAGGAAAGCAAAATGTAGTGTACCTAAAGTGTGGATTAAAAGCTACATCAATATATGCGTCGGACTTTGCTATTATAAGAATTCAAGTATGACTTTCTTTTAATTAACCTCAAGTTCAAATTGTTCTGCTTATGAGAAACAGAAATAAGCCCATAGTTCTAGATTAAATCCAGAAAGAAAACAGTAGTTGTTATTAGTTTGTAATTTCATTTTGTATTTTCTCTAAAAATAAATTATTATCTTACAAAGTGAACATTAAAATATATACTTAGGATAATTTTCAGGGTTATTTTGGGGTTAGAGATGGGATTGATAATGAAAGTGTTGAAGATAATCTGACTTGCAGCACAAATATAGGAGTTTGGTTTTTATCTTCTCCTACAGTTCAATTTTAGAGTTACAAGTGTCTTGTAGAAAATGTAACCAAAGCCCAAGGAAAGTAAAAGACTTGCCCGAGACTGGATCATGTGGCAGAAACACAGTTCAAAAGAAGGATCCTGATTCCCAACTAAGTATTTCTACCATTGTTTCATTTTTACCTATGTGCAAATATTTTATCAATCAATCAAAAGTGGTAACATTCCATGTCCTATAGCTAGTTTTCAGCTTCCATTTAGGGATCAATTCGAGGCTTTTAGTTGTTAGATGAATTCTAGGACTTCAGTTCAAGTGATGGACACCAGGTGAGTCTTTCAATGGAAGGATAAGATGATATGCATCAGGGTACAGATTAGCTCAGCGTAAGGTTTTATAATCCATACAGAAATGTCAGTTTTGCCTACTCAGGACTTGCTGTCCAGGTGACTTTCAGTCTTCAAGAATTCATTTGCTTATTGCAAACTCCACAAATAAAGTTTCCACACTGTTGTCACAGCTGGGTGTGATTTATGCTTGCCCCGGATACTCCATTTTCTTCCAGTGGTTCAGGTTAAATGCATTTTTTGTTCACTCGAAGAGCCGTTCACTGGTTTCATTTGAAAATTGATACCAAATTCCCTGAAATACCATCAGGACAGACGGTTTGGGATCAGGTCCCTTGAAACAGGTGGCCCCAAATGTTGAGTACATGAAGAACTCAGGCATGGCATTACTTTGACTTGATGTGGGGTAACAGTTAAAATGAAAACTCACATCTGAGATGATCAGAAACATGGAACAAGTCCTGCAGTGACAATGAGCACACAATAACAAGCCCAAAGGAGGGTTGTGAACTTGGTTTCACATAGCTTGTTCACATAGCTCTCATGGCACCCAAAGATGGTAAAACCTAAGAACCAATGTTCAATTTTATCCTCTTATTGCATTGTCACCCAAACCTCCATTATTTTCAGGTTAGCATGTCACGTTCTGTATCATCTGAAGATCTCCATTCGAGTCCCCATTGCTTTTGACAAATGACTCGATGGGTATGCCTTATAAGGTCTCACAATGGTCTCCCTCCAGAGCAGATGATGTAAGGTGATTTCAGATTTAGACACCTAAAAAAAAGAGAACATTGGTTTCCATAAGAGTACTGTCTCTGTTGATCATTATGGCTTACACATACAAATGTGCTGCTGTAACAATTGCTCTTAGTACTCTGCCTAGATGCCATTTGTCTACTGGTGGATGCATCACTCAGTAGCAGAAAAGAACACATGCACAGTAGCATCCTGCTCTAGAGGATTACCTATGGCCGACAGAAGGTCTTGCCAACAAGTTTCTAACAGATTGTAAGAACCTGATCACTACTCCTCTTTGGGATGGTTCTATGATGCCATTCTCATTCTCTCTCTCTCTCTCTCTCTCTCTCTCTCTCTCTCTCTCTCTCTCTCTCTCTCTCTCTCTCCCCTCTCCCTATGGAATCAGGTCCAGACTGCACTGTAGCTGAAGCCACATCTTTGCTTGGCAACTTTGGGCTGTTTTGTCTGCTTTCGTTACCTCACTATAGGTTTTGTCTTAGATAACACCCGCATGCATAACCACCTCCTTTTCAGACCCTTCTTCTGGAGAGCCCAACTTTCTACACCCAGCTCATGAATGTCTACAGATCTCCTCATCCTCCTTTTTCTCCTCTCCATCCTCCTTCTCCTTCTGTCTCCTCCTTGCTTTCTTTGTCCTCTTTCTTGTTATTATTCTTTGTCTTTTTGACAAGTATAAAGCTAATATAACACATATTCACTTCTTTCTGAGAGGCATTTATTAAGCAAAACAAACTTCTAATTTTGGTCACGGAACTTTAGTTATTTTTTTAAAAAATGAGAATAGTGAAAGTACCACAAGGGAAATATATTCATTCTTAATGTGACCCTCATTAACTTTTTTAGTTTTTCTTAGTTGTGTGGATTTAAGGAATAATAACTAGTATGGAGAAGCTTGAAATAATGTGGTACATACATAACTAATTCAAACTTGTTTGCAGATTAAGTTCTTGATATTGGGATTTTAGCAGCAGACAGTATTGCTAAAGATAACTTGCCTTAATGTCTACAGAGAAAATGGCCCATAGTTATCACACATTTTCATTTATTTAATAAGCATTTCTTAACATTTTGGGGTTTTGTTTTTGTTTTCGTTTTGTTTTGTTTTGTTGAGATGGGATTTATTTGTGTATCCCTGGCTGTCCTGGAACTCTCTCTGTAAACCAGGCTGGCCTCAGACTCACAGAGATCCACCTGACTCTGCCTCCCGAGTGCTGGGATTAAAGGTGTGTGCCACCACTGCCCAGTTTTTAACTTTCTTTTTGTTCAACAATATGTATGCATCATTAGACACTAAATGTATAATCATCAGTAAGATATATTTAATCTCTGCTTTCTAGAGGTCTGCTATCCTTCCCACTTAGAACTTTGACTTAGGCAAACATAGATAAGAAGAAAGGAAACTATAAATTTGTACTATTGTATTGCATCTGAAGTTAATTTTTACCGCTTGTCTGGGTTCATGAAAAGGCACCAAAAATGTTATGGAAGGTCTTCCTAGACACACCTGTCCATAGTAGGGACTCAAATAAATATTTTTCAAGTGAACGCACACAACCAATTTAATGCTTTGTTTTTTTTTCCATACCTTTTTCTTATGTAGCAATATAAGACAGCAAGAAAGGCACTAATTAACAATCCAACGCCAATCCCGATTGCAATGTACTTTTCATAAGAATCCACAGCATATGAAGTCAAGGTCAAATGCTCACACCTTTCTCCCGTGTAACCAGTGAAGCATCTTTAAAGAGAGAAAAGAATATACAACCTTAAAGCCTACAATGACAGAAGTACAAACGGGTGATACATTTCAAAGAATGAGAAAAGAGAGACATTTGCAGAGGCTCATGGGAGCCAGTTCATTAATGAAACAGCCTGTGCTTTACCACAGTCATTTCAGTAAGGCTCCACACACTCCCTCATTACTGGTAAAAAAAGGTAAACTGCTTGTCAAGAAGCTGCCAAAAAATAAGATCATGGCAGCTCCAGGACTTCATCTTCCCGAATAGATTTTCTTTATGTGGGAGTCTGTCTCATCCTGCAAAGCTATGAAAGTTCAGAGTCACCTTTGCATGTTGTGAGAAATGCAGATACTGATTTGACAGTTATAGAACATCAAAGTCAGCATTCCTAGCAAGCTCCAGGTTCCACACATGCTATAGTCTGGAAACTACAGTTTTAAGTAATGTGGATAAGTAGATTAGAAAGAAAGACTTTCAAACAGTCATATTCAAATATGAAGAAGACTGGCCAGTCACATTCAGATCAAGCATATTTTTCTCCATTCTCTTGACATTTCATCATTCTCATCTTTTATTTTTTTTTTGAGATTATAATAAACTTACATCCCCCATCCCTCTCTTTCCTCTAAGCACTTCCATGTTCTTAAGAGGAACAGGGAGTTTGCTGTGAGACTGGGTCTCCTAGAAATGGCAGAAGCAACACCCACGAAGTCTCACCAACATGGCTGCTTAAAGATGAGCAGAACAATGACAACGTCAATAGGCAAGTTAGCATGGACTAGGGTTGAGATAGGACTCAGGATGTCTCACCCTACCTCAGGATGGCTTTAGGTATCTAAGGAATGCTGAGAGCAGGAGAAGGAGTCTTCACCAGGAAAGAGCACAGCAACTGGCTACCAAGCACTGTTTTTACTGGACAAAACAGAGCAGTTGGAACGGTGCTGTGCCTACCACTTTCTTCTGTCTCTAAGACTTGCTAAGTTCTTGGCAATTACCTGCAAATGGCTTTCTTCAGCTCATGGTGGAATGCACACACTCCATTAATGCAGTAGCTATGATGGTCTTCCAGACAAGGGTGGGGGAACTTCAAAGCTACAGGTCCTTCCATGAAGTCAGCTAGGAAAAGGAGATACATTATTATCAATTAAGTATGTCCTACTTTCACAATACACGTTCAATGCATATGTAAAGATGTTTGATTTTAAGAATATTTTAAGCTCTTTGTCCTTTGAAACATTGATTTTCTTTTGGTGGAGGGATTCTATCTAAAAGGTTGGGTTCATGTCTCTACATACATTGTTAATTAATTACAGGGTGGAGATGGATTGATGATTGCCCCATTCTTTAGACACTACATAACAAAGCATAGAGATGAGTTGGTCGAAAGGTGGCAGCACCTGTTCTAGCTTAGCAGGTAATTCTGAACAATGTTTTCCAGACATGTACCTAATGCTCATTAATTAGAAAGAAGGCCTCATATCACTTTGCATTTTCTCTGCCTGGGTAGGGCGGCACCTAGGGAGACCTGGATGTAGTTTTGCTCTATAATAAAATAGATGTTTATTTCCTCTCCAGAGGAAGAGACGAGAATCCCCTTTCACTCTTCCACAGACTGCCAGGAGGTGTTAATTAGACAGGGGGCATTTTCACTGACTGACCAGAGTGGGGCTGTTATGACTGAAACAAGAATCCAGAACCAATGTGGGGCTCAGATGGACGCAACCGATGGCAACGCCACCACATACTAGGTGACAGTTCTACTGTGTTCTGAAGCAGTGGCCAAGCCACAGAGGTGGGATCTGAGACAGATTTTTAATTCTTTTGTTTTAATACTGCAAACATGACCACAGTGTGTAGTCTAGTGATCCAAAACCTCCTTATGGGACACCCATGTCAGGAAAGGGTGCTCTGGAAAGTCATCTGTATTTCAGGATGCCACTGATCTCCAGCATGCCGGATGTAACATGTACTAGTGCCATCCTTGGTGCTTACACATTGGTAAAGACTCTTAGGGAAAACTGCATAATTGAACTCTTGCCATTTTTAAACCTTTCTTAAGCAGAATTAGTGGTGTGTTATGTTGTATTGAGTGAATAAGTATACCTCCTCACTATTAGTCATCGCTTATGCGACACCATATGTGCATTCCTACAGAGACCAAGGGCATCCTGCTTAGGTGTCTTTAGGAAAAAAATCTAAAACATTCCTTTTCATGTGGAAAATACTAAATGTCTATATACTAGACACCATATCACTTCGTTTTAAAAACACATACCAGAACTTACAATTGGCATCTAATTTGCTGACTGTGGGATCTTAAACACAACTTATCCCTTTAGGAATTGATTTGGAGACACTGAGAATTTCTCATTCAAGCTGTGCTAAATTCCTCCTAATCCAAGACTAACCAAGTTTACTGAACCAAATCTAAAGAAGGGCTTTTCTAGAAAATATGAGAATTTGAAAGAAACCATTTCCAAAGAAAGGCACTCCAGACAGACTCATTCTTTTTCCCTTGTGGAGAAGAATATAAATTATAATTTCATTAAAACATCTATAAGATATGATTCCTATTTTTAAGTAAAAAGAGGGGCTATCGCACAGTTATAGAATGCTTGCTTAGCATGCACATGGCCCTGAAGTCCATGCCAGCATGGAGCAAGACGAGGGGAAAATACAAAATTTTCCCACGAAGAATGCAAAGAAAAAAATAGCATAGCTGCTCTTTTCTGTCCTCACTTCTGCTGTTATCTAAGTTGAAGATTCCATTTGCAGTTCCTTCAGCATCATGAGAGAGAAAAGGGTGGGATGGGATGCTGGACACATGACTATGCCATCTACCGCTAAGATGAAACCATGCCTTTAAATTTTCTACACATTCAGTTTCACAAATTGATGTTCAAAAACCAAATGGACAACTTGGGTGTTTAAAAATCACTGGGAAAATGAGGAACAGTTGGATGTTCCTATCTTTAAAATTTAGGAATGAACTATTTGGCCTCATCTTCTTTTATTGGCAAGACAAGGAGTGTCCTATGCCCTGATCACAAACCATAGTCTTTACATGAGGGGGATACTACGAGATTTGTGAGGGAGTCAAAGTCATTCAGACACAGGTCTTGACAGGCAAGGAGCTTTCCGAGTTCATCTGTAGTGCAGACAGGTTTGCAAGCTGTGCCACAGTGCTGTGCTCAGCCGCAGCCAGAAGTGTCTATGCTAGGCACAGTCAGACAGAAAGAAAATACATGCCCACCATGGATGACAGAAGCTGGGTGGAAGAGGTCAGGAAATGCAGCATATGCTCACAGGACAACAAGCAACCAGAAAAGACCTTTGCAGAGATGGGGGGAAAGCACTGCCTCTCGTAGCTGTCCTTTCTGTGGCTGCTAAGCTTACTGTCAGAGATCGAAACACAGCCACTCTCCTCAAGAATGTCAAAGTCATATGTAATCACACTGGATACCCTGGGTCACTGGGAGTCAAGTAGAATCCAAACGGAACCAGTGGCATGTCTCACACTCAGGAAAGCAGCTGAAGACAGGCAGCTTTGCTCATCCTTGTTTCACTTCCTCCTTAAAAAAAAAAAAAAAAAAAAAAACCACCTCTTGCTGGCACATCTATCTACCTGTCACCTCAACTTAGTATCATCTTTCTGAAATCGCTGATTATCTAGTAAAATGTTGGCTAAAATTTTCCCGGTGTGGTCCCTGTCACAATGCAACTTCCTGTCAAAGGTTTCAAGAAAGGCACTTGAAATAGAGGGGCAAGCAGCTACCTTCCGTGTTGTTGGCCGGCCAGGTGCTCTGCTGCGCTGTGCTAGGAGGCGTCACGTGCACTTCTGCTTCCTCGGTCAGCGCGGCCGCCATTGCTGTGGTAGAGGGAAAAGCATCTTATTTCACAGGCGAGTCTCCTTTGTGCACAAACAACCTGATCCAAAGGGTTCTTAGTCTGGGGATTCCCATTTTCTGTTCTGGTTTTAATCCATTAGGTTCGATGGAATCCAGAACCCGACTAGGGCAATTCCAGACTACTTTTTAGCTGTCCCATTGACAGCATTACAATGACATAACTCTGAAATGGATTCATTCTTAGGAGAAAGTTCATGTATTTACATGCTAAGACAATCACCATACACAGCTTCCTGTAGGGCGGTAGCTGTTATCAAGTGCACTTCAATTGCTTAAAGCAATTATTTCAGCCTTCTTAAAAAAAAATCAAGATTGAAAAAAAAGCATATATTCCATAAAGACACGAAAATCCACACAATCCTTGCTCTGATCCTGTTCAGGGGCAACCTCAAATTCAAAGAACTAAATGTTTACATTTACAGCGTAGAAATGACCTACCTTTGAACAGGAGGCAGACTGCCATTGGAATCCCCAGAGCCATATCCTGTAGCTGCTGAACTTCTTTCCCTGGTCCTCCTAGACTGAAGGGTGGAGGGTTTTTATTGCTCTCTCTGAGTCTTTCTTCCATTTATATTTCATGAAGCGTCATTTGGCAGTTCTTACCAATCCAAAAACTATGTGCTCCTGGCAGCAGCTTAAAGCCTGCAGGCACTCGCACACTCGTTTAGGATACCTGCGTTATCTTGAGAGGTGATCAAATTTCCTCTTGAAACACTGGTTTCCTGTCACCTGTGGGCATAATCGCACATGTAAAAGTTCTTAAAACAACAAAAATGAATGCAAATGCAGGAAAGTCACCGCTGCTGTGATGAACTATGGCTTTCCTAGTAGGCCACAAAGGACCACAGCCAAGATATCTGCAAACCAGTAGACAGAGTAACCTGTTAGGATCTGTAAGAGTTCCCAATTTGACAGTCAGTTCCATTCCCTTTCATCATAACCGCTGGGGGGAAAAAAGTACTAAGCATATTTTTAAAATATTTTGTTAATATGATTGTAAAGAAGAAGAACCGAATGTGTGTAAAATAATGTGTAGTATTCCATTTTCATTTTTGCCACTTAGCTGTGTTCATGATAAATTTTAAGTAAAATTACTTCTAAAGCTATAACATTAACCTTTATGTCATTCTGGCATTTAATGCTTTATGGAGAAATGGGATGGACCACCAAGTTCCAGGAACAAGAGTGTTTAAATCTGGCCTCATGATAGAATGCCCAGAATCAATGTGTATTAATAACATTGAAATTACATGTGGCACAATAGTCATAAACCCTTCATTGAGGTATACCTAGTGAATAGCTAGTTTTGATTTCATATTGCACTCAAGGTTTTCTCACTGTTGACCCAGTAATGATTAAAATGAGATTATAAAAGCCCAAATATGTAATTTTGCCTCTGTATTTTTGTATAAACTGTAGGAGATACTTGTAAATTTTCACCTGCCCCAAATTACTTTGAATATTTATGAATATGGTTTCCTGGAGTGGTGTGCCTTTCTACTTGGAATTTCATTTGCTTATATTTCCTGAACTTTGAAAACTTGTCCAAGGTTGATTATTGTGTGAATCATGTCCACCAAGCAAATTATATTTATCAGAAAGAATCCCTTTCTGTAGTCAAATCAGAATTTGGCTTTAGAAATCACACAAGCACGAGCTTGTTGTACTCATTACAGCTTGGGCAATCATTTACCATAAGAGTCATCACTTTAAAAAGCTAAAAGAATATGTACCACTTGGCTTACTTTAAGTGTGTCTACACACTGTAGCTCTAGTTTTAAGATCTTAAAGAACTATTTAGTATGTCAATTTCTGGGCATAATTTTTCACAAGAAAATAATAGTTGAATTACAAATAAAGAATCTTCTTTAGCACCTTATGGAGAATTTAAGACATAGTTTACTAAGGATTAAAATAGTAACGTAAGTCTTTCAAAGTTTCTGGAAAGAAATGTTAGGATCCCCCACCCACACTCTGCATGTGTGTGTGTGTGTGTGTGTGTGTGTGTGTGTGTGTGAGAGAGAGAGAGAGAGAGAGAGAGAGAGAGAGAGAGAGAGAGAGAGAGAGAGAGAGAGAGAGGAGAGAAATGATCAAACCCAGAACTTCATCACATATATTAAGGAAGTTTTCAACCAGTGTCAAATACACCTGGACCAAATATCTTTATTCTTAAGACCGAGCTATAGATGCACAATGGTTATCTTTGTAATAACAATTAACTGGGGGCGCTGGGGAGGTGGCTCAGTTGGAAAAGCATTTGCCATGCAATTGTGAGGACCTGAGTTTGGATGCACAGCACCCGTGTAATAACAATAACCAGGGGTGACGGAACACACCTGAAATCTTAGTGCTCGGGAGGAAAGAAGCAGGTTCTTGGGGCTTGCTGCAAGTCTGTCAGCTTCAATCCGCAAACTCCAGGGTCAGTGAGGTACCATGTTGGTGTCGGTTAGGTTTTGTCAACTTGACACAATCTTAGACATATCTGAGAAGACAGAATCTCAGTTGAGAACGGCCTCCATCAGACTGTCCTGTGGACATGTCTCTGGGGCATTTTCTTCATTCATGATGCACATGGGAGGACTCTGTTTATTGTGGATGGTGCCACCCCCAGGAAGGTGGTCCTAGATTGTATAAAAGAGCAAGCTGAGTAAGCCGTTGGGAGCAAGCCAGTAACCAGTATTCTTCCATGGCATCTGTTTTAGTTCCTGCCTCAAGGTTCCTGCTTCAAGTTTCTGCCCTGATTTCCCTCAGTGATGGACTATGGCCTATGACATGTAAACAAGTAAACTCTTTCCTGCCCAGATTGTCTTTCATCATGGTGTTTATCACAGCAAAATAAGCCTAACTAGACTTTAAAAAAACCTCCGATAACAAAGATGAATGAAGGTTAAAGGGATTGAGGGTGTAGTTACACACAAGTGAGGACTTGGATTCAATCCCTGGTACACAAGAAAAAGAAGTGAGTAGAGAAAAGGGGAAGGGAGGAGAGAACAGGAAAAAGACTCAAGTCACATGCCAAAGAACACGTGTCAAGTAGGACTTCAATCTCATTTTCAAATCCCTCCTCAGAAGGCCTTCCTGCTCTTATAGCTGTGTCCTCTTGCACACTCAACAGTGTCCTCTGGCACACTCAGAAGCTTTTCCTACACTTGCAGCTGTGTCCTCTGACACACTCAGAAGCCCTTCCTGCTCTTCCAGCTGTGTCCTCTGGCACACTCAGCTGAGTCCTCTGGTGTAATAATACAGGCCCATAGGGTCGAGGAAATTGGCTCAAACCAGTTGCCAAGGAATGAACATAACGTACTTCCTTATGAGCCAATGAACAACAACCACACAATGCCACTAGATTGGGATACAGCTTAGGTGCTGGGAGGAGGGTATATAAAGCCTTCCCTGTTATTTGCTGTTTGCCTTCAACTAACTCCTGATGTCTCTGTCATTGAAACCACACCTTCTCACCTCCTCCCCGGAGGGAGCCATTAGGATCCAGCAACATCTGGTGCCCAACATGGGGCTCGAACCCATGACCCTGAGATTAAGAGTCTCATGCTCTACCAACTGAGATAGCCAGACAAACAAACATGACAGACAACACAAAAGATGGAAAGAAATAGGGGTCCCAATGCTTACCTGCTGAAGGGACCGAAAGAACACAACACTAAGGGACCTTCTCACTGAAACACACCATCTTGGGGGTGCTGTCAGGCACCATGAGTGAAGGGAGGGAGATGACCAGAATCTGCACGAGAAAGAGAAAGTAATAGAAGCTCCACGTTCGGTTTAAACCTAGTCCCCTCATTAGTGGTGTAGGAGGCCAACAAGATTCTAAGATGACCACCCATCTGGTCCATTGGAAGGATCTTGATGGCAATTGGGGATTCATTTACCCTATCATTTCCACTGTACCTAGGAACATGTGAGGGAGAAATATTTTGGAGGATATGGTGTTGTCATAACTACAGATGACAGGGCCCTTTTTGATGACAATGAGGTCCATGAAAAAGCTGGTCTCACGGTCTGCATTCCTGCGCAAGATCTGTACCCCCAATTCTAAGGGCCATTGTCCCCACAAGATCCACTGCAAATGAACCCCCTAACCCCATTCCATTTATGTGGCTTTCAGATCAAGAAGTATAGGTGAACAGTGGCCTGTAATTGAACCCAATCTGTCAATCCTAAAGGACTTAGTTGCAGAACAGCTAAAGATGGCACACACAGAACCATTCACAAGTAAACATAATACCCCCATATTTGTTATCCCCAAGAAATCGGGATGCTACCCCCCTCCTGCAGGATCTTCATGTAGTTAATGGTCTAATGAAAAAAAATGAGGTTTACATAGCCAAGCCTCCCCTACCATAGCACTATTTCTCCATCTTATTATATATTAGTTTAGATATTAAGGATTGCTTTTTTCAAATTCTTCTGGTGCCACAGGACTGAGATCATTTTACCTTTGGTATGTGGGAATCTAATATGCATAAACCAGCTAAGAGATATCAATGGACTGTTTTGTCCCAAGGAATGAAGAATAGCCCCACTATTTGCCAGTTATATGTTTCTCAAGCTTTGGTCAGTGTCCCCAGGGGTGTTCTTTTGATCCATTATATGGATGATCTTCTCCTGGCACACCCAGATGCAGTCTACCTGAAAAAAATCTGTCAAGGGAGTATTAGAAGATCTCAAATCATTACATCTGATAGTGACTCCAGATAAGGTCCACATGGTAACCCCCTTTGACTTTTTAGGCATTTCCATTGCTAAGCAGGTTCACCCCCTTTCCTTTAAATTGGAAATGAAGGAATTACAACAATTATGTGGCATGGTTAATTGGCTTAAACCTTTCTTGCCCATCCCTGACCAAGAGATGAGACATCTCTTTTCACTGTTGGAAGGCCTCACCTGTCCTTCCACTAAGGTTAGGCTTACCCAAGAAGCTAAAGATTTGCTAAAGGTTTTGGCCATTCTAGCCACCTCCAGCCTGCAACACCAAGATCCCCAAAGGCCTTTATTGGCAATCATCCTCTGGACTGTACACGTAGGGGATTTTGGGGAGTATTATAGCAATCTGGGCCCCTTCTATGGATACATCAAGCACATTCTAACAAAGTCATCTCTAAGTTTGACCACTCGTTCCAACTTGGCCTTAAATCATGGATGCTGGCACAGAGAACATATAGATGAGAGCCAGATAAGGTTGTCTTCCTGTTTTCTTTAAAGAATACCCAGTCCCTCTGGGCAAATTCTATTTCATTCTAGGAAATGGTTGCAGGACTCACAGGAACTATTGACAATCATTTGCCAAAAAATAAGTTCTTAGCAGAATTCCCCACGCTTCCAATACAGATACAGCCCCATTCAGTCCCCTCCTCCACTTTCATCCCTCATGCCACCCTGGCCTTTTCAGATTCCAATAAAAACAGATATGGTGCTCTTATCCAGCACCCTGGCTCCCAAGATGTTACATATGTTATCCCTAACCCTGGTTCTGTTCAATTGGGTGAGCTATTGGTCCTCCTCAAGGTTCTAGTGGTATGCCAGACTGAGCCCATTAATATTTTTGCTGATAGAAAATACACTGTATAAGCAGTTCATGTGCTGGCCTTTTCTTGAGTCAAAGACTAACTACTAACTGACCCCTATCACTAGCACCATGTTGCTCATACAAGATATCCTAAATCAGAGGACTGAGCATTGGTACCTGTCACATATTA